GGGTATGCGGGGGAGTCTTCAAAAAACTCATGAAAAATGCATATTATGAACGAACTACGCATACATTTAAACTTTTCTTTGAACCAAAAAAAGCTGCACTTTAATTCCATTTTCTACAAACTTTTTGAAGTTTCTTCATATATAAGCTGAAACCATATTTTCATAAAATGATATCTACCCTTAATACATTAAATATTTAATATATTAAAATACTCTGATGTTCTCTACTCTATCTTATTGGTTTTCATTTTTTCTTTGGTGCACGGGACAAGCCATTAGACATTAAATGGATCCCCGACCACAACTGGGTCACTGATCCCTTCCCGCATTCCCTACTGCAGGAAATATTTTTAAGTGATATCACAGGTAATTATCACTCTCTGGTTATCTGGGAGGGGGATCAGGTCTATTTATTTTGTCCTTTTTTGCACCAACAGTAGATCACAGCTACGAATTATCAAGAGAAAGAACTCTGCAGCCTTTCAATAGGAAAGAAGCAAAGCCACCTGCCTTAGGGCTTCACCTGAGCCCACATCGGCCTGTCACCTTGCTAGCTTTTGTGTCCCTTTGGTGGGCACTGTCATTTCCACAGTGAATTATGATGAATGTGAGAACTATAAAGAGACACCCACCCTTTTCTAAATGAAAAACTTTTCCATTTGCATTAGGAAGCTCTAGAAACTATCACAGTCTAAGAGGAAATTCTTAGGTAGGTTTTCTTACCTTTTTTTTTTTTTAATATGCTAAATAAAAAGAGAGAGAGATAGAGGGAGAGAATGGCTGGTGGGACCAGCAGATAGTGTAATGGTTATGTCGCTAGACTCCCACGTAGTCAACCAGAGTTTGAGTCCCAGACCCGGCGGCTTAAAACTCACACTGGGTACATGTGCGTGCATGCCCGAGATCCTGAGAGGAGACTAGAGAAAAAGGGACTGCAGTGTGGCCATCCCCCTGGGGGATGGTTTCTTATCTTCTGTCCCTCTGTCTCTGTCTTTCTCTCTCTTTCTAATTAGCACATGTGCCCTGTAGCCAAAATCTCTCTTAGAAAAAAAAGTGAATGGCTGGGAATTTTGAATTTATTTTACAATTTTATAAAACAGTATAAAACAAATAACTTTCACACAATCAAAAGCTTATTAAATAAAGTTTACAGTACCTAGAGCAAGATAAACAGCAGGAGACTACCAAGTATTTTCTGATTTGAACTAAGGGTTACAATGAAACTCAACTGAGCCTTCACAACAGAACATTTTCCTCCTATAACATTGTTGTATGTTATATAATCTGCAATGTTTATACTGTTAGTTTAGTTCATAAGAAATTTATATTATGTTTTTGGGGAAAAATACATAATGTTTTAAATAGAACCATGTGAATCAGGATTAAAGTCCTATATTTGCCTGCTTTGATTTATTAGACCAAATTAAATCGGCCTCAGAGAAGAAAGGAGTCTGTCGCCCTCTTGTGGTAGTCGTGCTGTACTGTGGCCTCCAGGAGTTCCACATCAATGGGAATTTTCAAAGAAAACTTTCAGAGGCAGAGCGGTGTTTTGACCACACATTTCTGTACTTCCCAAAGCAGTCTCTATGTTATGACCTCTGCTTAGATACCCTCTGTGCTCTCCCTTCAGTTGTACCTCAGAAATTTAGCCTTTTCCTTGCTATTTTACAAAATACTCGCCCGCTAGCTTCTGATCACCGCACCAAAGGAGTTTCTGTATTCAATGCACATGCAAAATATTTACAACAATCCCTATCGTCACACGGAGCCTTTAGGTGAATGGAAGTAACTCAAAATATGAGGGGCTGAATTTTGTCAGCACTTCCCCCCCAAAAGAACGGGTCTTGTTCAGTATGAAACACATTAGAAATTTCAGAGATTAATGATATTGGTCTGATACTTCAAGGTTTTTTTGTTTTGTTTCGCTATAGGGCATGTACACTAGTCAGAAAGACAGAGAGATAAAGAAGGAAAAAGATAGAGAAATCAGCCCCCGGGGATGGCTGATCTGTAATTCCATCTCCATTCTTCTTTCAGGACTCTGGGCACACGCACATGCACCAGGCATGTTTTTCAAGCTGCTGGGTCCAGGACTCAAACCACACACCATGTGAGGTCCAGCTACCTTAAACTCTCCATCATCGGCTGGCCCTATGTTGATTTTTTTTTTTTTGTCTGTTTGTTGTTTTTATTTTTTAATTTTCTCAGACGGCACATGTGCCCACCAGGAACAGAGAGAGAGGGAGGAAGAGGGGAAAAACCACCACCCATTGGGGTGTGATCATGCCATAATCCCTTTTCCTCCATTTCTCTATTCTGTAGGGATTTGAGGGATCTAAGCGCAGGTACCTGGAGTGTTTCTGGAGCCTTTGAGGCCAGGATTCAAACCATATGTACAGTTAGCCATATAAAATCTGGTTCCCCTAACCCCTAGTCCATGGAGTAGGCCCTACAGCTTATTTATTTTTAATTCTTTTAGATTTTTTCTATAGGACTCATGCACTCCCTGGAGTGACAGACAGAGACAGGAAGAGAAAAAGTGAGAAATCGCACCCCCTGGGGAAATGGCTGTACCGCAACTCCTTTTCCTCCATTCTCTTCTCGGGATTTGAGGCACGCACACACACATACCTGGTCTGAGTTTTAAGCCGCCAGGTCCAGGAAATTCCCACATGGCCACCTCTTTAAGCACCACACCACCCCCGGCCTCAGCCCTCATGCTTTTAAAAGTAATAAAAGAGTCTTTTTCTTAAAATAGCCTGGATCATGTGCAAGGGCCTAGAGTCCTTCCCACAGCACACGCAATTCCGCTTTGCTTTCAAAATCAGCAACATGTAGCATGCCACTGTGAAATGAACTGTGCGACTAGTTCTTTTCTAAAGATAATTAAAAATAAATAGCACCATTTTAAAAGTGGTCGTTTATTTGTAATAAAGGATTTAGTGTCTAATGTGTTCGAATGATGTGGAAAATAGAAAAACAAAATAGATTCTTCATTAAAATAGGGAAAAAAATCCACTTACACAACTTAAAAGAATAATAAATGCAGGCCAGCCTGTGGCACGGTGGTGAAGGCGGCTGGATCCAACACGGCCAGGTGCACGGTGTGAGTCCTGAAGCTGGTCCTGAGAAACATGCTGGGCACACGTGCGTGCATGCCTGGGATCTTGGAAGGAGAAACAGAGGAGAAGGGACGGCAGTGTGGCCATTCCCCACAGGCGGTGCTTCCTCCCTCGCTCTCTCTTTCTCTTTTTCTCGCTCTCTCCCCAGTGAGTGCACGCACCCACCCTCAGGCAAAAGAAAAATAAATAACAATACAAATGATCAACTCTTAAAGCTACCACGTTTTCAGAACTAGCTCCTGTGTATTAAACCAATCCACCCAAGGCTGCCGAGGAGGGCTAGAAACTGGAGGGTGAGGTGGGGAAGGGCATTCAGGCAGAGGGACAGCAACTTGCAAAAGCATGGTGGCTGGCACGTGTCGGTGACTGAGGATGGCTCAGCAGGCCGAGCGCAGGTCCTGACTGAGGAGAAGCAGGGGTGAGGTGAGAAGTCAGGAGGGAACTGAGTAAACGGGGTCTTCAAGGAAAAGGTAGGAATGGTGAGACAGTGACACGTCGGCAGCAGGGGAGCGACATGGAGGGCAGAAGATGCGGTGGGAAGGAGACAGGAAGTAGTCAGAAGCCCTCTGAAGTGACCAGGGCCTGGGCCAAGGCAATGGCTCTGCTCTCAGAGGGGAGAGGACAAAGTGTCCACATCATGAGGTAGAATCAGTAAGTGTTAGAGACAGAGAGAAGACCTGTGTGCATGTGTGTGCATGTGTGTGTGAGTGTAATGTTTACATTCTAGCTTTGGTGACTGCAGGGATGTGCCATTCTCGAGATAGGAAGTGGTGTTTTCAGACACGCTGCATTTGAGGTGTCCCAGGAGATAGCAAGTGCGTCCATCGAGGGTCTGAGGGTGCAGAACCCAGGAAAGGGGACCACACTGCCCCTGGCTGGGCAGGACCAGGAGCCCGGAAGACGGATCAGCCAGGCGGAGGTCAGGGAGTGAGGGGATGAAGGTTGAGTCTGGGACTGGTCACACTGAAGGGTAGCCCTCGCTTCCTGTTAACGCGGTCATAAATGTTCATATTGGGAGAGACAGGAAGTGATTTTGTCTCCCTTCATTTTGAAAATCAAAACTGAGAGGCACAGAGGTTACTATTTGAAGCCACTAATCAGCAGAAGCGAGTGAGAACTCAGGCTTCAAGGCTGAGCCTCCATGGCTCCACCCTGCCATGCAAGGGCTGCCTTTGGGGAACTGGCTCTTTCTTCCCGATGCTTCAGAAATCTTCAGGTACCAAGAATTAAAAGATCCTTTCTTCATAACTGCGTGCTGGCAATAGAGGCTTCTGTTGTTCCTTTGTACATATTACCAAAACGAAAATGTGCTTCCGACCCAGCAGGTGGCGTGCGGGTTAACCTGGCTCCCACATGGTCCACTGCGAAGTTTGAGTCCAGGACCTGGTGGCTTGAAAATCATACCCATGCGTGTGCCTGCCTAAAATCCCAGGAGATGAAAGGAAAAGGGACTGTGGCATGACTGTACCCTGGGAGGTGGTATTTCTCTCTCTCGCTCGCTCGCTCTCTCTCTGTGGTGAGCACACAAGCTCTATAGTAAAAAAAAAAAAAAAGTTGTATTATCAAAGACAACTTCCCAACAACACAGCTCTCTAGGAAATAGAGCCATAATAAGTCTGTAAGTCCACGCACGCTCCCTGGGTGATCGAGGGAACAGGAACGGTCTGACTCCCCGGCGTGGATAGCGACGGCGACTATGAACGCACACAGAGCACGTGCAGGAGGCATTTCAAAGAGAAAAACAGGTGTAGCGTTTCTTCCCAGTGCCTTCGAAATCTTAGATGGCTGCAGATAACTTTCACCAGTGAATTCCAGCCTACATCCCACAGCGCAGCTTTCTCATTATCACTCTAAAAAAGTACGAAACATAAGGAATACCTGCTTGGGTTGGCCGCTGCCAGCTCGGTGACTTGATGACGCTGGTGGAGCCCACGGGCTTAAAGGCGACTGCGGTGGTGAGGCTGGCAGGCCCAGGTCTGCTGGCGTTTGGGCTCTCCAGGCTCTCAGCTCCGCTCCGGGTTGAAGCCACCGACGAAGCTGATGTTGGGGGCGGACCCTGAGTATCACTGTAAAAGAAATGGGGAAACACCTTTTGGTGAAGTGGTAGCAATCTAACTTACATGATTCTTTTCAAAAGCTATTAAATCTTTAAGGAAAATGAAATATTGATTGACTTTTGAAAAAAATGAAAAACTAAAATCATAACTGAAGGATTCCCCTCTCTTTGAAACAGAAAAAATGAAAGGAGTCAAGACTGCATTTGTTTTACACTTTCAAAAGTCCACGAGAAGCCCATGCAGCCAGTCCCTTGATAGGCAAAGCTGATTTCCTCTCCCTGTCCCTCTCTATCCCAATATTTAAAGATTCATCTCGATTAAAATAGTAAATTACTGAAGAATCCCCAGTAATCTCTATGAAATGGCAGAGAGGTTTCCCCTTTCCTACCCTTCTCTGGTATTCTATGACCCAAGCTTCCCTGACACCTCACCAGTTACCCTTGTCACTTGCACGCTGCCTCGTTCAGTAGCTATGTAAGCACCTACCGTATGCCAGACCTGGTGCGTGCCACTGCCCCGACGGCGATAACAAAGCCATCGGGGTCCCTGTAATGCAGTGGGGTAAGCACAGGACATGGGCAGCTGGATCCCACATGCCGACGGCCATCGCCACGCCTGATGCGTGCATGCCTAAAATCTCTTCTCCACCAGGGCTATTTGCTTAACTGCAGGCCTTTGGTCTTTGCTGGTTCCAGTTTGTTTTAGAAGATCATATAGTCTTTACTACTGAAGCATTTGTTATTTGCAATTGTACACATGCATGAGTGAACACATATACACATTTTTTAAAAAAAAAAAAATTGTGAAGTATCGCAAACCATAAGTCACTATGCCGTATGCTTTGGGATTATACAATACTATGGAAGGGGTTATTTCTCTCAAATGAAGTATAATAAATGATAATAACAATAAAAACTACTTCCTACTACTTAACTTTTCAATACTGGGTGCTAAGATAATTCCATGCAAAGAAACCCAATTCTATCAATAAAAGAAATCAACGGCTGGGCAGTAAACTATATTAATGACTTCAGTGAAATAAATACCCTTAATTATATTGTTTAAGTATAAACTGTTTTGATGAAAAGAAATTTCAGATTCAATCATGTCTACCATATAAGATGACTTCAAAAAGCTCAGGGAAAAACAGGATTAAAGTGTGAGATTATTTTGATGCATATTTTTAAAATCCATGCATAGTTTTTTCATATATGCTCTTTCCATAAAATATTTTTCTTTTTCTTTTCTTTGAGATATTTTTGCTATAGGGTGTGTGTGCTCACTGGAGAGACAGAGACACAGAAAGTGAACAATCCGCCCCCAGGAGGGGTGGCCACCATCCTTGTAATCTCTTCTCCATTCTTCTCTCAGGATTTTGGACATACATGCACACACAGCTGGCATGAGTTTTGAGCCGCTTAAAACTCATGGTTAAAACCATGAGTTAAACTGCAGTTGACTACGTGGGAGTCCAGCAATGTAACCATTATGCCATCTGCTGGTCCCTCTGTAGTTTTTGAAGACCCCTCCTTTTACCAAATGAACAAGAGTACAACTTCCCCAATACCTCTTGAGTCTCAGAAGACAATGAACACAGGAGGCAGGAGACCACCCTCGGGAAGGCCGACTTACAAAGTTGGCCCTTGACCAGCAGTTGGGAACTTGCTGATAAGCTCCTGCAGTGACAAGAGCAGCTCACTGGGCCTCAGCCGTGTGCATGAACAACATGGTTGATGCTGAACACCTGCTTTCCTTCGGAGTTGGCATTCTGGTACAACTGAGCACAGAGAGCCCTTGTAACAAGCCTGATAAAGCCATGGGTACTTCAGCTTTAGGGAGCCTCTGGTAGACCCTTGGCTCATTCATGACGGAGCTGAGCACACCCTATGCATCCTCTGGGAGAGGACTCTGGAACCCAAGCCCTGCTCCTAGACTTGGCCCCATGCACGGTCTTCCTTTGCTGATTCTACCCTGTGTTCTTCTTGCTGTGGAACATCCTCACCCTGAATATGACTAGATGCTGAGTCCTGGAAGTCCTTAAAATCAAAGCTGACAGGGGTCCTGAGGCACCTCTGACACTAAACAGTTTTGAAAAAAAGCATGCTCAAGTTGCTTTAACCTTGAAATAGTATTCCCTATTCTTGTTCTCTCAAACTCAAGTTCAACAGCCATTATCTTCTTTTGTTTCTGATCCATTTAATGAAAAAGCTAAAACCTGTTTAATGTTAAACATATTGGATCATCAGGAAGTCATGATGCATATTCACATAGAAAACATATGTCATGACTTGTCCAATGACCCAATACTATACAATGAAAAATGTAAGCACTTAGATCATTTTTATCACAAATAGAGTGGAAGATTATTTATTAAATGGGAACGTTGAACACAATTTTCAGTAAAGGCAACAGATAAAAATCTTTAAAGGAAAAATAGTTCAAACATTACAGGATAGTGGATATGAGCACCCTTTAAAAGCACTATGATGGACAAATTATTTTATCTAAGTCCAAGTTACCTAACCTTAAAGTGGGACAATACTTTGCTTTAAGATTTTCATGAGGCTTAAAAATAAGGTAATTATGTATAAAGTATTTAACATACTCTAACATAAAATGCTTCCTAAGGGATTCCAATGATGAAATTCGTGTAAATCCATAAACACCTTTGATTAATAATATAGAGATTAAGACTAAAATATAGCCATTTCCACTAGCTGCAAAATAAGCAAGGATGGACATGAAATGATAAATTAATAACTTGTATCTCTAGAACACAAAGGTTCTAGTTTCATGTTTTAAAGCTGGGAATGGAGAAAAGTGTACTAACGGAGTCCAGGTTTCTTTTCAAGATTGAACCAATGAAGGGGGAAAAAACAAGAGGAAGAGAAGTTAACCTTCAGTGTCAGCAGTCTGATTTATCTCCAGTGTACATTCCTTTCCCACATTTGTTTAACTGCTGGGTCATTGAGAAAGACATGACAAATTTCTCTATGTTTTTCTATGCAAAAATGTGTCACGACTTTTCCAACAACCCAATATCATACTAGATGAAGTTCAGGTACAAACTGGGAACACTGAAAATTTTCAATCTATCTATTTCAAAGTTAAAACCCTACTTGCAAAATACTCTCCAGAGTAATTTTCAATCCAATTACATGTGCGTAAATTTTTTTAAAAAACTGACTGTGCATCACAGGTTTAATTATCAATAATTAAGCTAAACAGTTTTTAGTTAAGGTCTTACAAAAATGATATACTAACATACAGATTCTGAAATGGTACAGAAAGAATATTTCTGGAAGGACCTTAAGTAAGAGCAACTTATTATTTTATAAAAACTCTTTGGTTAAAACTCTATACAAAGGGGGACCAGCAGTCAGCATAATGGCTATGTTGCTGGACTCCCACGTAGTCGACCGCGGTTCACCTCCCGGACCCAGTGGCTTAAAACTCACGCTGGGCACGTGAGTGTGCATGCTCAAGATCCCGAGAGGAGAATGGAGAAGAAGGGATTGCGGCATGATCATCCCCCCTGGGGGGGGGGTGATTTCTCGCTTTCTGTCTCTCTGTCTCTGTCTGTCTGGCGAGCGCACATGCCCTATAGCAAAAACCTTTCTCTAAAAAAAAAAAAAAAGATTAAAAAAACAAACCCGAGAGGAGAAGGGAGAAGAAGGGATTGCGGCATGATCATCCCCCCTGGGGGGGGGGGTGATTTCTCGCTTTCTGTCTCTCTGTCTCTGTCTGTCTGGCGAGCGCACATGCCCTATAGCAAAAACCTTTCTCTAAAAAAAAAAAAAAAGATTAAAAAAACAAAAAAAACCCTCTATACAAGGACCTGGGCATAGAGAGAAATCCAGAGTGTCCTTCTTTCCAGAATTCTATATTTACAAGAAAAAAATGTATATGTGTCTAAACAAAGTTCTTTAATTTCATTTTTACACCAAAATTAAAAGTCCTAAATACACTGCAATAGAAACAAGTTTGGTGTCACTTTATTCTCACAGTAAAGCAATGGTAATGCCTAAACTTCTCTAGATGAGGGGCCGCAGGAAACTTCAATCACACTGCAGGCACTCTTGTGTGTGTCCATGAACATGGGCACTTTTCTGGAGAGAGGACCTAGCATTCCAACAGGTTCTCAAAATGTGGGCCCAGTGCACTCAAGTACTCAAAGTGGACTTTGGGGTGGTCATAACCTGTCTATGGACAAACTTAGCCCTGACAATCAAAGGTTTCTGCTCGTTTAACAGAATTCATCAAATATAAAATAATTTCAGGGTTTTTTTTTTTTCCACAGTGCAAAAATGTACTGCACTCTCTCTAACCCTGCTTAAATACCTCCCTCAAAAGTAACCCAGAACGATAATTAAGCATACTGAAAAACCTCCATGATGGCGGACAGCACACAAATACCTAATCTATAGACGGCTTCATTATATCAGGTTTGTACTAGTGCTGTCGCAGTAGTACACTCTGCCACTGATGCCATGTCCTGTCAAAAATGATTTTTTACTGTATTTCATTGAGATTATACTTCAGTAAACAGGATAGTTCTATTTTTCATATTATGCCTAATAACTTTTGGCTTCATTGCTACAGGAGAAAAGTGAATTTTTGTGGTTTGGTATATCCCAGATATACTGAAGATTAAGTTGCTGTTCTGAACAAAACCTTCACATTGAAGACCTATAATACAGTAACCAATTGAAATCAATTACCCTATTACTCTTGTTTAAAAGGCATGCCTTACCCAACACTTGAGTATTCTACTACAGCTACATCCATGCAATAGGAGAGAGGAGTTCACTTTAGTTACATATTTGCACAATTACTCATCACTTCATACCAAGCATCCAGTATGGTAGTTGTGTGACGATGAGTTCATGGTGAATCAATAATCACGCAACACAAAGGACTATGGATTAGCGTTGCAGTGAGATTACAGGTGACTCACGTGTGGGCAGAAATCGGCTCCAGGGCCTTCTCATCAGCCGGGTAATGTGGGGTGCTGTGTTAGAGAAGGGACCATTCGCAACGGCAAACCATCACTTGCTGCACCCGCTCCCACGGTACCTTGCTTTCTGCACATGGACAGAGACAGCTGGTTTCCCAGAGGACTGGAGAGAAGAAAAAACTAAAGGCTTGGAAACAGGACTGATGCAAAGTGCATCCAAGATGGGGAGGTATCTTTCCGCAGTGGAGAGCCTAGAGAGCATTCAGAAAGTTTCAAGTCAAAGCTGGCACTACCAAACAGCAGGAAGTAGTTTTGAGAAAGGGGGTCTGGGAGCAGGAGAGGGAGAGGAAGCCCAGGGCAGAAGGACTAGAAGAGCTAAGTGTGTATTATACTGTTTCACTTATTAATATACAATCGAACACATTTTCATTCAAATCTGGCAAAGCCACCTTTTAGAAAGCATTTAAAGCTGGAAGGACTATAGAACTTACATTTGGAAAAAAAAAAACGATAAAAAATAAAATGATTTTACTCATTTTATGCAGAAGAAGTGTTTGGGAGAGTAGTTAGGCTTTAGATAACCCCTCTGAAGATTTTGAGAAAAGACAAAAATCAACAGAAACTTAAGCTGATCTATTTACACTTGATTCTGTTTCAAATATAAACTCTAAAAGTTGTGAAATCTGAAAGTCAACAGGCACACAACATATGCTAACCCATACAACTGGGAAATGTCATAGATAAATTGCAGCAATGGAGAGAAATAAAGGGATGATCGTTTTAGAAAATCAGTTTCAAATACTACGGGGTTTATCCATGACTTGGATAAACTAGCTCATAGCCAAGCAGTGGCTGTTTTGGGCGGGTGTGTTTTCTTCAAGGCGGCCTGGAAGACAGTGTGGAGCACTGGCCTCCCATCACCCAGACACGGCCCGTGCAGTTCTACCTGGTCTTTGCAGCAACCACAGCAGAGACAGTAGCAGCTGCACTGCTCAGCACTGCTGCGCTATATCTAGCAGGAGGAGAGAAGGTAGAGAACTTTCGAGGACCTTCCAAAGGACCTTCCGCATTTCTTATGGAGTTGCTTACACTGAGAGGGTGGAAAAGAAAAACAGAGGAGAGGAACAAAAAGTGAGAAAGGGTAGCAGAGTAAACACAACCACCCCCGTTAATATTTAGATACTACACAGGCGTGAAAGAGCTGGAATAGGAGTTTCAGGTTATTTAGACGTTGTTATGATTTCTCTTAGAAATTAAAATCTGATGTATAATCCCCCTAAAGCTGATGTGTTTATCTACAAACACTCCTGAAGGTATCTAAGGTGTCTATCCTACTAGAATTCTAAAGATGTCATATAGCACACACTTGAAGGACTTGCCATCTTGCCACGTAGTTATTACTAAGTAGAAAATAAACCTCAACACAAAGTTTGAATTTCTATAAGCAGAGAAAGGACAGTTGAGACAATTTTTTTTTCCCCAAAAAAGTCTCTAGGCAGAGTTCTAGCTTAAAGAAAACACACACTGCGAGTGCTGACATTTTAATGAGCCCGTTTTCAGGCCACGCGGGTACAAGTGGCTGCCCATTCAGGAGCAGTGATGTATATTAACATGATCAAGTAGCAACGATTTAAAATGTTGACAGTAAAGCTATCTGTAGGGCAACACCTGCAAAAATGAATCGTAGTTACCATGACAATGACTAAAATATCACCTTTTCTGCAGAAGGTCCATATTTCCATTTTCAGTTTACTTTGTAAAGAGGAAAAAATGCTGGCCTAAAATGTTATTTTGGAAACATTATTACTTAGAATACTTATTTTCCCTTGGTTAGTCATTAATAGGCCATCATTAGGACTGTAATGATTTCTAAATGAGCTATCAAAATGGAAGAGTGAATTTCCTGTTCATAAAGTAGCATAAAAAGAAAAGCCAGAAATGCCTAGTGTGAAACCTGCAGTGTCTCTGCACTCACGGGCGCAAGTGACCAATGAGCATCAGCACCATATTATGGGGACTTTTCCCAGAAGTTTGCGACAATGACCTTCTCCACAAATAACTGCGTGCCAAGCTCAACCCAGGTTAACCACAGCTCGGATGTCTGACACTGTGCGACTGACATGAGTCTCCTCTTCCTGTCTGAAGAACTCGACAGATCTGATATTTTATTCCTAGTTTCATAAGAGATAACCTTATAAACCTCTCCAAGGAACATTAAAGAAAGTGGCAAGCCAGTTCTTTTAAAACAATATTATACAGAATTGTTTAACCTCAAGTATATATATTTTTGCAAGTCCATCCATTAAATGGAATGGTTTTAACAACTGTAGTGAATGGTGACAAAAGCAGAGGGCCTGGAAAGGGCAAAGGACAATGGCAGCAAAAGCGGGACAAGGCAACGCGCGTGTCAACGGAAGAATAAAGTTACAAAGTGACTCAACTTTTGGGTTTCTGAGTCACTCTGTATCTTTGAGGCAAGGGCTACTATGTGGGGGAAGTAAATAATGGCAAATATCAATAACCAGAAATTTGGTCTGTAAAAAAACTCAGCTACAAAAATGAGCTAAATTATCATTCTGTAGCAATAAGAAAACTGTGAGCTTCTTTCATTCTATTGTTTCACAAATAACATAAAAGGGCTTAGTATCAGGGCAGCTAAATAGCATCTCATAAGCTGAACTATTTACTCGAAAACCTTTAGAGTAAGCCTGGACATCTGGTAACATACTATGGTCTCTCTTTTAGAGGTAAATGCCCTAATTCAGAAGGAAAATTTTAAAAAGATGACAAATTTGGAAAGTTGACTTTCTCAATCACAAAGTGAATTAATAAAGACACAGATTTCCGGATTTACATTAGCCGTTAGAAACAAGACAAACAAAATACAGAAAAGCAGTGAGAAGCAGTGTGTTAAGGCTGATGGCCAGGTTTTCGTGGGTTTCTGTTAATGATGTCACAGTTCTGTAATTTCCAATCACTTTTTTCTTTTCAGACAGTTTTAGTGTTCATGTTAACCATCAGCACTGAAACTGAGACACACCAACACAGACAAACTCTACCTAGAATAAGGAGCTGCTACTTTGGAAAGTGTGGCTACATGGCCACCCATGTTTAACACCTGAGCACTTGCAGGTGGGTGAGGTCCACTCCTAGGTAAGTCTTCCAGAGAACTGTCAAATCTAAATTTTTCAGAAGTAAAATAAAAAGGAAATATTAATGCAAAGTATCAGACACGTTTATCATGTAAATCATCTTTTAGATGTACATCAATTATGGAAATACTGCCAGTTTTTAAACTTCATATCTTCAAAAGGTTAAAACCAAAACCATCACCCCCACCACCATTATATATGGGTTGTTTTTCTCCCAAATCCTTTAACAAGACTACTTACATGTGATAAAGTTTATATTCGAAGGGGAAAAGATTGATGGGAATTCCCACTCACTCTGTTTTCTGTTTTTAAATTTTGCTACAGGGCATGTGCACTTGGTGGAGAAAGAGAGAAAAAGAGAAAGAGAGAGAGAGAGAGAGAGAAAGCACCCTCCCCGGGGAGGAGAGTCACACTGCAAACCCTTCTCCAGTCCCGTGGGATTTGGGGCATAAATGCACATGTGCCTGGAGTGTTTTTCAAGCTGCCAGGTCTGGAATCAAACTGTACAGATGGCCACGTGGGGTCCAGCCACCAGACCCCCTGGGTGGCCCTATGGGTTATTTTTTTTTTTTTTTTGTATTTTATTTATTCATTCATTTATTTAAAGTTGATGAGAGAAAATGAGAAAGCAAGCCATCAGGTTTGGGACTTGAACTATCATTGGCCATGTGGAAGTGCCCAGTGCCTCAACCACCCCCACCATCTGCTGATCCCACATATTTTGAATGTTTTAAGAAAATTTAGTCTCCAAGAAATGAATGAAGTTGTCTACTTCCGTACATGGGTAAGGCCGGGTGGATTGGCCCGAGCCTGTCTGTCTCACGAACTCATGCTTTCCAGCATCGGGTGCAGTTGCCTGAGCAGTGCACGACAGGAAAGCAAATGGGAATCTCCTCCCAACTTAGAACGCTGTGTCTGTAGATCTGAAAGTGTACGGGTCTTGTTTATCTTGATGTAAATACAAGTATTGTATCTAGTCACACAACTAACTAGTGGTTATATATCATTGTGGTGCTTGGACTATTTTTTAACTTTGTTTTTCTGATGTCTGTATCATTTTTTTCTCTAGAATGCCAGAATTAAATGCTAGAAGAACCATTATCAGGTAAAGAAAAGATGAAAAATTCACTGTTGGGTTCAAAAGAAGAAAGCACCAAGTATAACACATTGGGGGAAAAGAAATCAACATGAAAAACACAAAATTATACTTTAAAAAAAAAAAAAGCCTATGAAGCGGCCAGTAGATGGCGATGGTTACATCATTGGACTCCCACATAGTTGGCCATGGTTTGAGTCCCAGACCTGGTGGCTTAACTCACACCAGGCACATGTGTATGTGCACCCAAGGTCCCAAGAGGACAATGGATGAGAAGGGATTGCCAAGAGGACAACGGATGAGAAGGGATTGCAGCATGGTCATCTACCCCCTCCACCCCTCAGAGAAGGAATGATTTCTCACTTTCTTTTTTTCTTCTTGTTTCTTTCTTTCTCTCTTTTTTTGTTTTTTTTTTTTTTGAGAGGTTTTTGCTATAGGGCACGGGCACTCACCAGAAAGACAGGGAGAGACAGAGAGACAGAGAGACAGAAAGCAAGAAATCACTCCCCAGGGGAAATGGTCACACCACAATCCCTTGTCCTCCATTCTCTTTTCGGGATCTTGGACATGCATGCACACAAATGCCTGGTGTCTCACTTTCTATTTCTGGTGAGTGCGTGTGCCTTATAGCAAAAATCTCTCTCTCTCTCTCTAAAAAAAAAAAAAAAAAGCCTATGAATAAAAAAATTAAATGGATCTGCCATGTTACACTGATTTTCAAATGGAAAATGTAGTACAAAGATTCAAAAAATATAAAAATAGAGGTTATATCCCTCTTGGTTATTTAGCACTGGTCCTACTTTTACCAAAGTGTTAAAAAAAACATAGACAATTTAAGAAAAATGTCATGGTAAAATTAAAATATAATTCAAGGTAGATAGAATACATTTTGAAAAATAAGAAAAGTTGAGACCAGCAGTTAGCGTAATGGCTATGTCGCTGAACTCTCATGTAGCCGACGGCAGTTCGAGTCCCAAGCTGGGTGGCTTAAACTCATGCCGGGCACGTGTGTGTGCATGCCCAAGACCCTGAGAGGAGAATGGAGGAGAAGGGACTGCGGAGTGGCCATCCCCCCTGCAGGGTGATTTCTCACTTTCTCTCTCTCTGTCTTTTTAGCAAGCGCATGCACCCTATAGCAAAAACCTCTCCCAATAAATAAATAAATAAATAAAATAAGAAAAAGTGTTATAATATGGGTTATTGAACCATGCCTACAGGTTTGGCCCACCACCTGTTTGTATGCCCTGTAAGCTAAGAATGGTTTTCATATGTTTAAATAATTAAAACAAATCAGAAGAAGAATATTTCACACACAACTCCATACATGAAAATGAATGAAATCCCAATTTCTGCACCCACAGACATTTCCTGGAACACTGCCACGCTTGTTCATTTAGATACACCGGCTACTTTCATACCATACAGAGGTGAGCAGTCGTGACACACTCCAAGCCCACAGAATGGATTCGCAATCTGAATCTTTCTAGAAGTAACTTGCTGATCCCTGTCCCAGAGAGAAACGTCTCCACGTAGCTCTCAGGGCGAACTCTGAAAACACAAATCTGGTCAATGTCTGTTGCTTAGACCTCTCTGCAGTGTTCTCAGGACAGCTGTGACCTTGGGTCACCCAGTCTTCAGCGCCATCTCACACAGCATGTCCTTGCCCTCTGGCTTACTTCAGTCTATCCAGCCTTCCATGTGTTCTTGAATTAGTCCTGGCCTCTTGCCACCTTGAGGCCACTGCGTAGTCCACTTCTCACTCTCCACGGCCCTCTCTCAATCACACCTTCACTGGGTGATTCTGAAGCACCTGTCTGGCTTCACTTTAAATATCACCTCAGGGAGGCCTCCTCAATTCCACAACCGCCTTAGTTGCCCCTATCAGATGCTTTCATAGCCCCTTGCACTTTCTTCACAGAGCCTGTATTATTGTAATGACACAATTGTGTGGGTTAAGTCCAGGCTCCCCCAGTAAACCAGAACAGCACCGCGGTCAGGGACATGATAGTTACTGATATAAAGTAGTAAAATAACGGCTTGCAGTAAAGTAAAAAAATAAATATTTATTAAGTTCATAAATGAAATATACTGCTTTCAAATACAGAACTCTCGGTATTCTTAGAACATACGTGTACTTTCTAGAGACTGTGTGACAATTCTAGCCAAATAGAATGTCTATGTAAGGAGGGACACGTGATTAAGTGTGAAAATATGACCAAGGACTCCAAAAAATACCTTAACAATGTCCTTTATAATATAAAGAACTGCCAATATTTTAGAAAAAAAGAAAATACAGGTTTTTAAAATAATTATTTTATTTAACTTTATTATTATTTAATTTGACCAGTGAGAGAAAGAAAGGGAAAGTGAGAAAGCAAGACACCAGGTCTGAGACTTGAACTATAGTTGGCCATGTAGAAGAACCATAGTCGGCCATGTAGAAGTCTAGTGCCTTAACCACCATACCACCTGCTGGCCCCAAGAAAATATAGTTTTTTGTTTGTTTGTTTGTTTTTTGCTATAGGGTATATGCACTCGCCAGAAAGACAGAGAGAGAGACAGAGACACAAAAGGAAAGAAATCACCCCCCAGGGGGCATGGCCACACCGCAATCTCTTCTCCTCCATTTTCCTCTTGGGATCTTGGGCACACATGCACACACACCTGGTGTAAGTTAAGGCACCGGGTCTGGGACTCAAACCACAGTCGACTACATGGGAGTCCAGCGACATAAACATTACACCAACTGCTGGTCCCAAAAGTATAGTTTTAAAGAACTGTTGGTGCCATGTGTCCCTGGCATCTTAAGTGGTAGTGGGTCAGGCAATCATGGATCAGGTAATGCAGTTTGTTGAGCCAAGTCAGCAGTCTGTAAAGGACTCGATTCAGCTGGTAAAAAGATGCACCAAACCTGATAGAAAAGAATTCCAGAAAATTGCCATGGCAACAGCAATAGGATTTGCTATAATGGGATTCATTGGTTTCTTTGTGAAACTGATCCATAGTCCCTTTAATAACATCATTGTTGGTGGCTGAATACTTCACTGAAGTGTGTTTTTCATCTTGGGGATTGGTGAACAGTGAGAGTGTGAGAAGCCCAGGAGTAAAACTGTGCCTATATAGTGTGGGTTTGTTTTTTTTTTTTTCCCAAGATGTTTTCTATTTCTAAATTAAAATAATTTCAAAATAAAAAAAAGAACTGTTAATATATACTTGTTAACATATAATGAAGACAGGTAAAAAAGAGAAAGCAAGTGAGTCGGAGAAGTGGAGTCTTCCATCTCCATGAACTTTGTTGACCGAAAATATTTGAGACCCGCTTGAGAATTATATAACTCAAGAAATACCTTTAAAAGCCAGATTTCCAAGTTTCCAAACAAGTGCACTTGGGAGATTTCTTATGTGCTCTGCACACTGATTACCTGTTTGTCATTCAGCCAATCTAAAAACACCGGACTTAAGACTAGACTTAAGACCTCATTTAATATGGAACAGACATCAATACCTCTTCTTGTTTTGACATTCCCTAATATTTATTTCTTTTAGGGTTGGAAGAAGACCTGATTAATAGTCCTCCTGCAGCAGCCAAAGTCTGTTTTGTCTGTTGCTCACACGGGTTTTCATTTTTCACTGGAGAGAGGTATGAAGACTTTCTCCTTTCCAGGTCTGTCTGCAGAGTTGGGCTTGCAGTCTTAGGCCTGCTTTCCTCAGGGAGAACGAATAACAGCACCATCTGTGCATCGTGTCTTTCTCTGCAGTCTCTGCCCTGTGTCTACGCCTTCTTAATAATCTAGCCAGGCAAATCAGGCATGAGGTTGTCCACGTCACTAAGTCCTGCCATCCTGCAGTGAAAGAAATGCTTTCTCTATGTCCAATCCGGGCGGCAGCCAGACAGTGACGCCTTATGCTGTATACTCCATCTCTGCCCTTC